CACACACACACACACACACGCACACTCTCACACACACACACACACACGCACACTCTCACACACACACACACACTCACACGTTTACTTGGCTATCTAAATGGGGACTCTCCATAGGCGTAATGGTTTTTATACTGTACAAACTGTATATTATATCACCCTACACCTAAACCTACCCCTTACAGGAAACTTTCTGCATTTTTACAATTAAAAAAAAAAAACTTTGTTTACCAGTTTTACAAGTGAAGACATCCCCAAAGGGAGGTTTTTGGAGATTTTGTCATGTTTAGCTCACTTTTGGGTACAAATTTGTCCCCAAAATATGGTTAAGTGGGTACACACACACACACACACACACACACAACACACACCTGTTTGCTGTACAAACAAAATTTTACTCTTTGCATTTCTAGTACAACCCTCTTTCTTTAGCTCAAGTATGCAAAACTAGTTGCCATATGCACTGTAATTAATATGTTTTATATTAAAAGTAAAATTTTCAAATAAAAATGGCAGGTGGCGCTTAAAGCATTTCCTTGGTTTCCGCTGTAAGCAAAGCAATGCTGCACGCTACAACACTGCATTATAAAAAGAAAAAATACCATCTAAACTTTTCTAAAGACCAAGTTCCCCTCAGACATACATTCATATAAACTCCTAACTCTAAATGAATCGCGATTTGTTTAGCATCTCAACCGATTTGAATCGTCACATATCTGAATCGATTTTCAACCGGCTCGCGGTTAATCGCTACATCCCTATTGAGATCAATATGCTAAATAGTACTGCATTCTTATTTTTCATCGCTTATGGACTGTTGTATAAGAAAGAAACTCATTGTGACAACCTAGGTTTCACTGATTTGTCTATATACTATTTGAGCTGAATAAGGATGTTATTAACCAGAAAGGCATTGTTATTGTACATAACTCCATAGACAATGCTCTTTGAGAAAAGTGACTTTCTCCCCGGCTTTTTATATTCATGCATTTAAATACCATTTATATATACAATGCTAGGTGACTATAGTAATTGATTTAACATGGTATATATTAAAGTACCATAGTATTACCATCTGATGCCATTTTATTTTACCTTTTTTTTTTTTTTTTTGGACATGGTACTTTTGAATACCTTGGTACATGAGTATGGAAATCATTCATTAATGTTAGAACTGCACTATATTGGAACAAGACTGGCTTTGCAATACGAAAAAGTACATTAATTTTCACCAGTTGACTTGAATAGCTACGTTTGAATCATTCTAGAGTTAGTGACGTGATTTTGTTGGGAAGTGAAAATTAAAAATAGTTGTATACTTGTGCTGCCAACATTTTCACTAGCCCTTGCACAATAAGATAAATTAATAGAATAGAAAGTAGGGGTCAAGCGATTATCGGTCTGGCTGATTATCGGCACAGATATAAAAAAATTCTTAAAATTATCGGTAATTTTCAAAACTGATTTGCCGATAAAATAATTTAAAAGCATTTAAAGAGAGTTTTTGTCAGAGCCCTTGTTATTCTTAATTTTGTCATTAATTCTCTTTTTTACACGAGATAACGGTTCAAAATATCGGTTATCGGTCTACTTGATCTGTAATAATCGTATCGGCATCGGCCCTGAATAGCACATATCGGTCGACCCCTAATAGAAAGTTACGGCATTTTGACCCATTTCAATACCTCCGAAAAACTACTAACCTAACTAATACAGAGTTCAGACATTACTGAAGACACACAAGCTATAGCAGAAATTAAACAATGCAGCAAAGTGGTTTCAAACAGTGGTTTCAGTTTTTTCTGGTAGGTCTAACAGTAGTATTGAGGTACAGAAATTGAATAATCAGATATAAATAACACTGCATAGTTCTCACTTTATAAATGTAATATAGAGTAATCCTTTTAAAAGCTATTCAGTCTTTTGCGGTTTTATTAACATTAATGACAGACAAGTGCAAGTCACAAGCCCTAATGCACAGATCTAATGTGTTGATCGATTTATACGAGGTTACTGGCCAGGATGGGTATTTCTGACACAATTTGTGTGAATTTGTCCATTCAAGCGCAAGAAGACACAAAAAAGAACTGTACCATGGCACTAGCATTTAATTTACCATGGTATCACGAGATTTTGTAAATGAAGAGTATTACATGTTACCCGTTTAATTCAGAGTTCCAGACTATTTATAGAGTAACTTTTCACTCTTCCTCTTTCCCATCAGGCTCTTCTGCCTCTTGCTAATGTCTCCATGATTGACTACACATTAGAGTTCCTGACCTCTACTGGAGTGCAAGAGACGTTTGTCTTCTGCTGCTGGATGGCCAGCAAAATAAAGGAACACTTACAGTGAGACGCTGTGATGTTTTTAATGACACTGTCGAATGACCGTGACTCTGATCACTCAGCATTTGCCGTCTTATTTCACAGGAAGTCCAAATGGTGTCGCCCCACATCTCCAAATGTGGTGCACGTCATCACCTCTGACCTGTACCGTTCCCTCGGGGATGTGTTGAGGGACGTGGACGCCAAAACTCTCGTCCGCTCGGACTTTCTGCTGGTGTATGGGGACGTGGTGTCCAACATCGATATTTCCCAGGCTTTACAGGAACACAAGTGAGTGTCGCTCGTCCACAGACCCTGTCTAGATATAAAAGTTCCGTAGTATAATTTAATATGTGACCCTGGAGCACAAAACCAGTCATAAGGGTCAATTTCTCGAAATTGAGATGTATACATCACCTGAAAGCTGAATAAATACGCTTACCATTGATGTATGGTTTGTTAGGATCGGACAATATTTGGCTGAGATACAACTATTTGAAAATCTGGAATCTGAGGGTGCAAAAAAAATCTAAATATGAAGAAAATCGCCTTTAAAGTTGTCCAAATGAAGTCCTTAGCAATGCATATTACTAATCAAAATTTAAGTTTTGATATATTTACGGTAGGTATTGTTCTAAATATCTTCATGGAACATGATCTTTACTTAATATCCTAATGATTTTTGGCATAAAAGAAAAATAGATAATTTTGACCCTTACAATGTATTGTTGGCTATTGCTACAAATATACCCCAGTGACTTAACACTGCTTTTGTGCTCCAGGGTCACATATAATTAAAACCATTTTTACTTTCCTGAAAGACAGCGGCGCAGTATGGATAAGAACGTCTCGGTGATGACCATGATCTTCAAAGAGTCGCCTCCCGGTCACAAGACTCGCTGTGAAGACGATGACATTATAATAGCTATGGACGGCAAGAGCAAGCGCATTCTTCATTACCAGAGAGCACAGGCCTTAAAGAGACTCCACTTCCCTATGGTGAGATGTTTTACTAATATTTAGAGGTGCTCCAATTTGCTTTGCTTTCAATTTGCCAATTTCATAAACCAATCTCATACTGATCAAGTCATACTGATCAAATGTTTTTGGAAGAAGTCTCTTCTGCTCACCAGGGCTGCATTCATTTAATCAAAAATACAGTAAAAACTGGAATACTGTAGATTAGTTTACAATTTAAAAAAACATTTTACAATATTTATTCCTGTGATCAAATCTGAATTTTCAGCATCATTCCTCCAGTCTTCAGTGTCACACGATCTTCAGAAATCAGTATAATATGCTGATTCGCTGCTCAAGAAACATTTCTGGTTATTATCAATGTTGAAAGCAGTTATGTTGCTTAATATTTTTGTGTAAACTACAGATTCTTTGACGAAAACAAAGTTCAAGAAGTCCAAAAAAACTACACAAATCGTTTGTAACAGTTTAAATGGTTTTACAGACACTTTATAAAAAAAAGAGTCTTTGCTATATAAAAGTATTAATGTCTGATAAAAATTCTGAGTGGAGCATCCCTATAAGTAATGCTACATGAGGAAAAAGAAGGTACACTTACTAACATTGTGGCTTTATCTCCTGCAGTTTGCTGTTTGCATTGAGAATTGGTAGCATTACCCCTCTTTTACTTTTGATCTTGTAATACTCATTCTCAATGGTGATTATTAACAATCAATTAAGTTTATTAATCAAATGAAGGGTATTGCAGTCATGCAAATCAGAAAGTACAACAAATAAAACCATAATGTGTAGATGCTTTCCCAGTCAGCTCGACAAAGCAAATAAAAATCATAGCATTTAGTGATTATAATTATTCTTTCTTTCCCACACAGAATATTTTCCATAGTGGAAGTGATGAGTTTGAAATTAGGTTTGATCTTCTGGATTGTCATATTAGCATCTGTTCTCCACAGGTGAGTGTTCATTTGTTTTACAGTTTGTTTAAACCATAAACATATTGCTTGATGGAAGGGAATGTTGTTTAACCATAGGTTGCTGAGCTTTTCACAGACAACTTTGACTACCAGACAAAAAATGACTTTGTCCGTGGGCTTCTAGTCAATGAAGAGGTATGAGACACAGAATCACGCGACTTGCTCATTTATGAATTCGTATATTATCTGACACAGGGTTTTTTCACTAGATCCTGGGAAACCAGATCCATATGCATGTCACTAAAGATGGATATGGGGCTCGTGTGTCGAACCTCCTCATGTACGACACCGTCTCTTCCGACACGATCCGCCGTTGGGTCTATCCCATCACACCCGAGGCCAACTTTGCAGACCTGGAAGGCCAGAGCTGTACTCACTCTCGACATAATGTGTACCGTGAGACAGGGGTCAGTCTGGGTCACGGCAGCCAGATGGAGGAAAATGTGCTTATTGGCCGAAATACAATGATTGGAGCAAACTGCACCATATCAAATACTGTGATTGGTGCAAACTGTGTCATCGGTACAGTATTTACAGTAACTGATTTGGTTTCGGTGCATGATATTGTAGGTCTGGGCGATAAACTATATCATATTGAGATTGCATTAAAATTAATGTCGATAATGATAAGCTATGGACATTTCTACTCGATATGGATTAATCTAACAGCCGAGCACTCGGCTAATAAATGCAACAGCGGCCAGTCGGTGCATGTTCTGCGTGTCTCTGTGAATGAGTGCTGTAATTTCATCTACTACTCAAACTCAAACACACGCAACACTTACTGTTTTCAATATATGAGGGCGAACACGTGAACTTCATCTCCAGAGCTGCTCTGAGAGTCACTTCAGCAGCTTTACTACTGTTAAATACACACTGAAGCTGAAAGATCTTCATGACAAACCGCCAAAATAAGAATAAATTCTGTTTAACTTGTGACAGAAATCCATTGCTATTGTATAATAAAATGTAATGTATTTCTTAAAGTAATAATGGTATTATTGTTTTTGATGAATATCATGCAACTAAGATATTTTTCATCCATGTTTTTATTGATATCGTTATTTTGTGCAGCATCTTATTTGACAAAAAAATACAAATGCATTGTAATTACATTTTTTTTAATTTGATTAGATTTTAAAAGATTAATTATACTGTTAAAGTTCTATTAATTGATTTCATTAGACACAACTTTTGATGAATTTGATTTGTTTTAAAACATAAAACACAGAGTCCAGACAAATTAAAATGCAAAAACACAGAATGTAGGGAAAAATATTTATAATATTTGTGGAATATTATTTATTATAATTGTGGAAAGCATTTCCTTCCTCATTTATGGTAAATGAACGGCATGATAAATATTGATATTGTATGATATGGGAAAAAAAGTATTGTGATGTTTTTAGCCATAACGCCCAGCCCTACTCTCCTGTATATTTTTGTATATATTCTTGATATGTTGGCACTTTAAAAAAAAATACTATGTGACCGTGTGAAAACTATTTGTTTGACATCCTGCTAACTGCAGTTTTGTCTACTTAGGAGACAATGTGACTCTGGATAGAGCTTACATATGGAACAGAGTCCACATAGCCGACGACGTGAAGGTCAAGCAGTCTGTAATCTGTGATAATGTGGAGGTGAAACACGGAGTTGTTTTGAATGAGCAGTGTGTGCTCGCCTACAATGTAAGACACCACAACACCGCCTCGAATTAAAGACAACCGTTTTTTAATTTGCTGTCTGAACTAGAGCTGCCCGATTCATTGTTAAATGATCTCGATTCAAACACCCAAGTGATTTTATTCCTAAACGCTTCAGATAAAGATTGTATCAATTACATCATTATGCCAGTAGGTGGGGACTGTTAAACTGTTAAAAAATGTGTTTGAATCGGTCTTTCGAGAGATTTGTTCAAAAACATTGACGGTGTGTCCAAAATCGTGTACTGTGTGAGTAGAATCTACATTTGAATTTACTTCGACCGTTAAAAAAAGTATGTTCTATATAGTATGAATATGGGTAGTATGAATGAAATTCAGACATACTACATCCACCATTTTGTTACCGTCACATGACCTACCAGCGTCAGTTGCATTGCTTCACTGCCCTTCATAAATCCTCTCCTGTGGCCTCATGGGATGGTAAAGTGTCCATCTAATGCACACTTCAGATTCTGGGAGGAAGAAGTTGGTCGTCCGGGTACTTTTCGCCTACTGTTTTTCGAAGACTATGAATTCAGACATACTATTGCCTCCCATACTGTTTTTCGCCTGCTATATTGTAGGGAGTTTTGTGATTTCGGATGCAGTGTGATTCATCCAGTAATGAAGCAATTTAAGTCTTTGAGTGAGTCATTGAATCATTAATTCAAGAGATTCATTAAAAAAACACTGATTCATCCAGTAATGAAGCAAGTGAGGTGTTTATGAGTGAGTCATTGAATCATTAATTCAAAAGATTCATTAAAAAAACTGATTCATCCAGGAATGAAGCAAGTTAAGTGTTTATGAGTGAGTCATTGAATCATTAATTCAAGAGATTCATTAAAAAACACTGATTCATCCAGTAATGAAGCAAGTGAAGTGTTTATGAGTGAGTCATTGAATCATTAATTCAAAAGATTCATTAAAAAAACGGATTCATCCAGTAATGAAGCAAGTGACGTGTTTATGAGTGAGCCATTGAATCATTCATTCAAGAGATTCATTAAAAAACACTGATTCATCCAGTAATGAAGCAAGTGACGTGTTTATGAGTGAGCCGTTGAATCATTCATTCAAGAGATTCATTAAAAAAACTCTGATTCATCCAGTAATGAAGCAAGTGACGTGTTTATGAGTGAGTCATTGAATCATTCATTCAAGAGATTCATTAAAAAACTTCTGATTCATCCAGTAATGAAGCAAGTGAAGTGTTTGAGTGAGTCATTGAATCATTCATTCAAGAGATTCATTTAAAAAACACTGATTCATCCAGTAATGACGCAAGTGACGTGTTTATGAGTGAGTCATTGAATCATTCATTCAAGAGATTCATTAAAAAACTTCTGATTCATCCAGTAATGAAGCAAGTGACGTGTTTATGAGTGAGTCATTGAATCATTCATTCAAGAGATTCATTTAAAAAACACTGATTCATCCAGTAATGACGCAAGTGACGTGTTTATGAGTCATTGAATCATTCATTCAAGAGATTCATTAAAAAAACACTGATTCATCCAGTAATGAAGCAAGTGACGTGTTTATGAGTGAGTCATTGAATCATTAATTCAAAAGATTCATTAAAAAAACTGATTCATCCAGTAATGAAGCAAGTGAAGTGTTTATGAGTGAGTCATTGAATCATTTATTCAAGAGATTCATTTAAAAAACACTGATTCATCCAGTAATGAAGCAAGTGAAGTGTTTATGAGTGAGTCATTGAATCATTCAATCAAGAGATTCTTTTAAAATCGCTAATTCATTCAGTAATGAACAAGTGAAGTCTTTTATGAGTCATTGAATCATTCATTGAAACTGATTTTTTTTTTTAAAGCAATTAACATTTTGTCAGAACTTCTAGTAAATGACATTGTTATTTTGATTAGTTGACTTCAGTATTGTGCTCTCTATTTTAAACAAAAAAACGTGATTCTCAATTTCTCCAGATTCGTGCAGCTCTAGTGTCAACTAAACTGTTGCATTCGATATAATATTTAAACTTAATATATTTTTTAAATATATATTCAAATATATTTAAGACCTGAAAGTTATGACATGAAATTATAGTTTGGTCCCTAAATTGTTGATGATCAGAATAGAGGCATAATGAGATACTAGTTTATTTGGCAGAAATTGAAAATGTTTTACTGTGTATCCAAATCACTTGCTGCAAGTTGCCTTGTTTTCTAATCAAATGCTGAAATGCAGGTTGTGGTGGGTCCAGATATTACTCTTCCAGAAGGCACAGTTCTGTCCATGCACCATCCAGATGAAGAGGATGATGAAGATGACGATGAGTTCTTGAGCGATGACAATGATGTTGGTTACAGAAAAGACAAAACCAAACTGAAAGGTTCTTGCTCCTCTTATTTTCTTACATATGGACATAACATAGTACAAGTTCAGTACAATACTATTAACCGTGACTCTGCTGTCGTAGTTTGTGGGTCGTAGATGTTGAAAATCTGATGGGATTATATTTGGTAACATTATTCTGTCCTTATCACGTAATAGTAATAACAGTCAAATGTGCAGCAAGGACACATTAAAATAAAGTATGATCTTATATTCCTGGCAGAAAAAAAGATGACAAGGAACTTTATTGCCATTAAAAATTCTATATTTTGGATGCCGTTCACAATGACAAAGTGTCATTTTGCAAAGTTTTTTTTGTTTTGTCAGTGTTTAACCCAGCAGAGGTTGGTTCAGAGGGTAAAGGATACAGATGGAAGACCAGCAGTCTTGAAGACACAGAGGAAGATGAGCTCGCTGAATGCATTTGGGGTGAGATGTCTGCCATAAAATATTAGATTCAAGTTAGACTCAAAATATTGTCCTCATTTATTCACCCTTATGTTGTTCCAAACCTGTACGACTTTTTCATCACAAAGGATTTGAAGGAATTGTTGCTCTGTGCAGCTATAATGGTCTGGTCTATACATTTGATCACAAGTATATGGGTTAAACTGACTCTATACCATAACTGCAGTTAACAGCCCTCTGGAGGGGAACATTATCAGCGAATAGCGACTTCAGGTTCAGTCAGTTCCTCACACAAAGCTATAAAATAAGCTTCAGAAATCTTGGAAAACAGCTCACAAGTCTTCTCAACCAGTTTTTATACCATGGAGGAAAGTTTTACAAGTCTGCAACAACTTATGGATGAATAAAAAAAAGACTGTTTTCAAATTTGGATAAAGTAATGCTTGAATATAATCCTCATATCGCATTCAGGACAGTTTGGACCTGGAAGCGGTACATAAAAATGTATTTAAAAACATTAGTTGGCATATGTATTAAGACTATCAAAACTTTGCAAATGTATTAAGACTATCAAAATACACATCATTTATTTATTTATTCATTCAGATTTTTTAAGATCAATTTTTAGCATATATAACCATTTAAACTAAATTGTTACATCTTTCTCGTTCGGGTCAGTTTTGACCTAGTGAACTGTGACTTCACACCTGAAAAGATTTTTTTTGTATCTCGCATACAATTTTATGATTTAATTTTGTTGGTAGATTTGAATGTGCATGCAAAAAGACACTATAAACAGACAAAAGATGTAATGTATAACAAATAAACTTTATCTAATGAACTAGACCCCCAGAGGTGTGTTGAGCAAAAAAAACAAATAATCAAAATTTTTAAAAAGAGACAGAGAAGTCCCCACTTTACACTGTACCTCCACTTATTGATGAAGCAAGTAATATTTGTTGTTTTGATGTTGTTTTGTTAGAAAAAGTATATGTAGGTTTCACAAATTTAGATTTTTTTTAGCAACATGATTTGTAAGTTCAAAGGAATTTAATTAAATTCCCTTCATTCCAGTGGAGTTAATACAGGTAATTATCAGTTAATATGTTCTTAGAAATTTCATATAAAGATATGTTGAAATAAAGTGTCTCATGAATACTGAAAAAAAAAAAACTTGCATCAGTGGTTTTGGTATAGTTCTTCATTCATTCAATTTTTAGCATATATAACCATTTAAACTAAATTGTTACATCTTTCTCGTTCGGGTCAGTTTTGACCTAGTGAACTGTGGCTTTACACCTGAAAAGATTTTTTTTGTATCTCGCATACAATTTTATGATTTAATTTTGTTGGTAGATTTGAATGTGCATGCAAAAAGACACTATAAGCAGACAAAAGATGTAATGTATAACAAATAAACTTTATCTAATGAACTAGACCCCCAGAGGTGTGTTGAGCAAAAGTTCCAAAATAATCTGAGCAAAAAAACCAAATAATTATTGATGAAGCAAGTAATATTTGTTGTTTTGATGTCGTTTTGTTAGGTGTAGGTTGTAGATGTAGGTTTCACAAATTTAGATTTTTTTTTTAGCAACATGATTTGTAATTTCAAAGGAATTTAATTAAATTCCCTTCATTCCAGTGGAGTTAATACTGGTAATTATCAGTTAATATGTTCTTAGAAATTTCATATAAAGATATGTTGAAATAAAGTCTCATGAATACTGAAAAAAAACTTGCATCAGTGGTTTTGGTATAGTTCTTGTAAACTTCGAAATTTCACATAATTTCTCAGTTTAATAAAAAGGAGGGAACAGTCCCTGTATGTTTCCTCACAGTTGTTGAAGAAGTGGGCGCCAGTCTTTAAGAACTATGTGAAGAGACCTCAAGACCAACTGGACTGTCTTGCTTTGGATGCTTCACCTGTTAATTGTTTTCAGCGTTTAAACAGTTTTCAGAATCTAAAACTAATTGATTCTGCTATTTGAAGCTGCTTTGACACAGTCTGTATTGAATAAATCTTTCTTGAAATAAAGGTGACTTGACTATTTGACTACAGCAGAAGATACTGAGAACAGTCCCTGTATGTTTCCTCACAGTTGTTGAAGAAGTGGGCGCCAGTCTTTAAGAACTATGTGAAGAGACCTCAAGACCAACTGGACTGTCTTGCTTCCATGGAGGAGGTTTTCCTTGAACGTGAAACTCATTGGGCAGCTTTGGTCAAAGTGAGCCATCTCTTTTTCCGCAGTGATCAAAAACACACGTTCTCTTGCTGATTGTACGCGATGTCTGTCCACTTCAGGTGCTGATGAGTATGTACCAGCTGGAGATCTTGGAGGAGGAAGGCATCATGCACTGGTTCAATCAGGGCTCCACCACAGACAAGAGCCAACAGCTCCGCAGGAATCAAGGGGTGCGAAGGTTTAAATGATGTCAGATGAAGCCTGTAGCTACATTTACACTCGTTTTTAATTCTGAACATTGCTGTCAAATTGCAAGCTGTCTTTACGGGGCTGTCAGTGGTGTGTGTGAATGCAAGCACAGAACATGGTAAAGGTGTGAAAGCAGTGTGAATCATCAAAATCACATCATGCCAGAAGAGTTACCAGAACAAGTTTTCTAGGAAATGACTGGAGTGTGTGTGAAAGAGGACTGTGTTAACTTGGAGTTCTTCTATCCTGTGTCCGCAGCTCTTGAAGTTCATTCAGTGGCTACAGGAGGCTGAGGAGTCTTCAGAAGAAGATGAATGAACCTAAACCATCGTGCGTGTGAATAACACACTCTGGATGGTCATTTAAACACTTTACAAACCAGAAAAAAACACCAATGTTTGTGGAATGGTTTGATGGTCCTGACAAATGGCAACATATAAAGGTGTGGAAATGGATATTTATTCATAGTTTTTTATTTTTCTTTCTTGATTTCTGTATGCTTGCTGAAAAGCATTGTTTAAACCAAAAATGTGACCCTGGACCACAAAACCAGTCATAAGGGTCAAAATGTTTTTCTGAATAAATACGCTTTCCATTGATGTATGGTTTGTTAGGATAGGACAATATTTGGCCGAGATACAACTATTTGAAAATCTGGAATCTGAGGGTGCAAAAAACAAACAAAATATTGAGAAAATCGCCTTTAGAGTTGTCCAAATGAAGTTCTTACAGTGGTTTACAGTGAATTTATAACCGCTAAGTGGCGTTGTTAGGCACGATGCAAAGCGGAGTGCCTAAAACCCCCTTAGCTGTTATAAATTCACTGTAAACCACGGCTTCACGGGGCTTATTGCTTTTATAAAATAGAGTTGTCCAAATGAAGTTCTTACAGTGGTTTACAGTGAATTTATAAATTTATAAATTCACTGTAAACCACGGCTTCACGGGGCTTATTGCTTTTATAAAACGGTTATTCCATATACGTAGCAAGGTTTCACAAAATAAAACAAAGCAAATAAAGTGTAATGATATTAATAAACACAGTATTCTTCCACCAAACAATGTAGCTCCTCAGAAACAGTTGTGGTTGCCGAACAGCACACAGAAGTAAAGAAAGGTGTGTGTTTGTAGAGTAATTTACAACAGCTTCGAGCGTGGCTCAGCCAATCAGAATCAAGGACCAGAACGCTCCGTTTTATAATGAAATTTTTAGCTCCACTCCCATGAAGCACCGGCGCGAGTGATGTAATCGAGTTGGTCAGTTACAGTATATAGTTTCTATAGATACAATGGTTTCACTTTAGTATAGGGACCGATTCTCACTATTAACTAGTTGCTTATTAGAATGCCTGTTATTAACATACTGGCTGTTTATTAGTACTTATAAAGCATTTATTCTGCATGACCTTGTGCTACATCCCTAATCCTACCCAATACCTAAACTTGCAACAACTACCTTACTAACTATTAATAAGCAGCAAATTAGGAGTTTATTGAGGCAAAAGTCGTAGATAATAGTTTATTAATAGCGAGAATTGGACCTTAAAATTTATAAATATATATAAAGTTATATATTATAATATATATATTATATATATATATACTTATATAAAGCATTGTGCTACATCCCTAATCCTACCCAATACCTAAACTTGCAACAACTACCTTACTAACTATTAATAAGCAGCAAATTAGGAGTTTATTGAGGCAAAAGTCATAGATAATAGTTTATTAATAGCGAGAATTGGACCTTAAAATAAAGTGTGAATGATACAATCAACAGTTTTAAATTGATAAGTTTTATTTTTCTCCATTTTTAATTAGATTGTCATTCACAATGGTTCATGTGGATCAGGCTTTTTGCTTCAAATCAATGTTTGCAATGTTTGTAATGTTGGTTCACCTCATAGTTTGGTTCATAGATTTTAAAGCTTTAACAAAAGGCTTTTTAAAACTCCCTATTGGAAAAATACTAACGGAAACAACACCTCTGAAAAAGTATGCAGGTACTAATGCACTCTACAGGAGCAACGATAGTATTGAGAGGAACTGTATGCCAGGAACTATCTTCTAGAGCAGAGGTGGCCAAAAATTGATTGAAGGCTGAGGTCTAGAAGTAAATGCTGCATTATTTCCAACTGTATCATAATTAAATGTAAATTGAAAAAATATATATATATTTTAAACTACATTTCAATGCAAAAAAAAATGCTAAATTTAAATTAAATGTAAGATGTCAAGTCAGTCAGTCAGTCATATTTATTTATAGAGCACATTTAAAAACCACAGCTGTTGGCCAACGTGCTGTACAAGATTAAGCATATAACGAAATACAAAAGTAAACATAGAACACAGCGACAGATAGTACACTAAAGTTATGCCACTGCGCTTATGACCATAAGCAACAGTAAATAAATAAGTTTTAAGAAGAGACTTAAAATCAGCATATGTTGGTGCAGTTCTTATATAGGGTGGTAACTTGTTCCATAATTGCTTATGGTCATAGACATTTTTTCTATATTTTAGGGAACTTAAATATATCATACAAAGGAAGCATGTATAAAGAGAATAGAATAGGACCCAAAATTGAGCCCTGTGGAACCCCATAAAAAACTGGTGCACAAGATGATGAATATTTGCCAGTCTCTACAGAGAAGGTTCGATCCTTTAAATAGGATACAAACCAGTTTAACACACGGCATTGAATCCCAATTTGCTGTAAGTGATTTAATATGCTTCAACAACATGTTTTTTCCTATCCTATTGCCTAAACAAGCCAAAAGATTGGCAGTGAAGCATTTACCAGGTTTTTAGAAGAGAGTTCCAGTATTTCCAGTGCTCGTGCACGGTTGTCTTCTGGATGACGGCGTGGAACGAACTGGCTGGAAATGGGCTCTCCGGTGGCCTGCACCAATCCTGAAATGGAGGTAAAATAAGGATGCATCAATTAAGACTTTTCAAAGTAGGAGGTGTTATTGAGCATTTTATTTACCTTCTACAGCAACATAATGAAGTCTCTTATTGGACGACGCATTGAGAATCCTGAGCAGGTGATGGTCTGGTTGAAAGTCTGGTATCTCCTGTGAAGTGGAGGAAACGTAAAAAAGCAGCTCTTTGGATGTGCCCACTTTTATAAAACAACTCTGCTATCTATCTGAATCTATTACTTACAGTAAACTTTCACATGACAGTCATTCTATATTTTAGGGTACATTTTACATCAGGAAAAACCATGCTTTCTCAATAAAACAACTACTGGTTTCAGTTTTATATATTTTATCTGCTAGTTGCCAAGCTTAATCATTAAATACCATTTTGATATTACAAAGAAAAAGATGTTTTCCTGGTGTCGAGTTTGTCAACTTTGTTACGGACAAACTGTATGGGTTTACAGGTAGCATAATTGACAATTTCACCATTTTGACTCATGATTTCAATGGCAGGCTTCGTCTGGCCAACCAAATGTTATTTTCTTGATCAGGTTAAGTTGCTCAAATTGTAATATATGAATTGAAGTCATTAAAATATTGCAAAGCACACCATCAGCCCAACATAGTAGACGGCAATTAATATACTCCTTGACAAAAGGTCACTGGACATCAAATATAGAAAAAATGAAGAGAAAGTTTACCATAATGTGTTCAAAATATCCACCGCACGAGAGAATAAATGAAATCACATGATGCTTTTTTAGTTTTCAGGGGGTGTTTTGTTAGTAACAGTTGACAATTTAAAGAAATTTTTCCAAGCTATTTACATTGTAGATAATCATTGTTTATTCATTATTTTGAATTCAAGCCTCATCAGTTTAAAAAGCGAGCATTGCAAAAACTCATTTAAGGAACTTGAAGACAACTGAAAAACAGGGTTCCTACATATTTTCCATTTCAAAATGGACTCAAATTTCCAAAACTCAGTAGATTTTCAGACCATATTTAACATAGACGGTTCATACGACATTATTTTTAGCTTTGTATTTGGTATATAGTACAGTCATCTGTAAATATTTTTTCTGGGGTTTTTTTCCCATTGATTTTCCCGAAGTGACAACATACAGAGCCCCTAAAATAATATATACATACATACATGCAGACTTTTACATGCCCTCGAGAAACTATTCATATGCGCACTGGAATTTTTTGCGTGCTTATGCATTACAATTTCTAGTTTTACATACTAGAACCCATTTCCTTTGTGCATCACTGCCATTTTACTATGAAGAAACTAAAGCATGGATGCACATGAATTAACAGAGACCTATTTGCTCAAAATTTGGCTTTCCTTATGGTAGGACCTCTAATATCAAGGCCCACTGTCCGATTTAACACATCCTCTGTGGCAGCTGAGAAACCATGACACGAAACTGGCTGACGGCACAATACGGCTGTGTGCATTGTCCTATTTGCCAAGTTCAGTGGTCTACAAAAAGGTCTGTATGTGACAGTGTGTCATATTTCAAGGCCTTAGGTCTGCTTTAACACATAGCCTACTCTGTGGCAGCCAAGAAACCACACGGTGAAACGGGCTGATGGTGCAATCGATGGATCAGTGTGCACTGTCCTCAGTTTAATGGTTTCTCATGCACACATGAAAGTCTGTATATTTTTTATTTTTGCAAAGGTCCTTTTAGAGGCTCTGTAATATGGTGCTAGTAATATCCTGAGAAGAAGCCTACAATATAACCTGTATTTTTGCATAATGCAATAATTTAGCATAATTATTCAGTCGAATTTGACAGTCATCAAAGAATCAGTAAACCGCAGCCATGAAAACACTTCTTGTATGATACATTTATTTGAATTGATAGAAAACTAAATAGGGGCAACAGCCTGGAAATGCAAGTATTTTTCCATACTCTGCTTTCTTTTTTCCCCATACGTTTCCAAACTGCATAGGAACCCTGTTAAAATACATACATGAGATTATAGTACGTATTCTTTTGATGGATAAAAATATGTTTCTGAAGAATTCTGTTAGAAAAAATATAATTATCAATGGACATGAAATGTACACTATATTATCTGATGCAGTATCAATGATGATGTTATATGAATGATAACGGACCAGACAAACCACTACTGTACCTTCAGCTTCTGGATTTCTTGTCTTTTATCTGAATATAGTTTATAAAACAGGCCCATATGACGGCCAGTGTGTTGAGGAGATGGTCACTCATTTCTGCTCTGGACGAAGAGAGAAACATGTAAAGCTTGTCAGAAAGGTTTAGCTGTAAAGCACAGTAAACATGGTAAACCGTACCTACCAGTCTCAGTAAAATCAATAGCAGTGGGGCTGGTTGATCAATGTAGCAAGCTCTTTTCACAGGAGTTTTCGTGGTTTTTAAAATATGTTACGCTCATGCAATTAAGTAAAGTTTGTTAATGACTATTTAAAACTGTAATAATAATAATTATTATTATTTAAAACTGTAGATCAACCTAAGGTCCTATCCAGCTAGTTCAGTTTTGTTAAGCAGAATCGTTTCGTTTCCATTGCATTCCACGTCTTCATGTTTCTGAACAGATATAGTTATATGTATACAACTAAATATCTAAATCACAATGTGTCGTGTTGACAAAATGTCGCGAAACTACACTTTAGCAAGCGGCGAGTTAAAAGGTTAAACAGCACGAAATAAATATGAACCTCAGCGAAAGCAAAACTTTTTATGTTACGATAAATCAGGAAACCACGGCTATACAGGCCGTTGACTATGATCACTAGTCTGATTATACAACATTTATGTTATGTATTAGATTCACTGTAGCTTTAAGAATAAGCTCAGCTGAAGCTTATTAAACACAACACATCAGTCCGCCATCATTTGAGCTGCAGTGTGCATGTGTGTGCTCAGGAGGGCTGTGATGAAGTCAAGGACAACAAGGGGTAAACTCCCTCCACTAGCAATATCAAATAAATCTCTTTTATTTTTCAACGTGGCCGTTTTCTGTGTATGTGCAAGACTTCCGGTTCATTAGCCGCTGTAGGGAAATAAGGAGAAGAATAACAAAGTGCAGTAAACTGTTTGCACTACAAACCAGTGTGGCCATAATTAAGATAATACATTAAAATATGGCAAGACACACAAGTTTGCAATATCAAGCAGCAAAACGAGCTGTTTTGTACAGCTAAAAATAGCTGAGACCGGAAGCCACGTTAAATTTACAAATGGCTGCACCCACACTTACGGGGAAAAGTTGGTGTGAAAATGATATTGGTGACCCTGGAGCACAAAACCAGGCATAAGGGTCAATTTTTCGAAATTGAGATGTATACACCATCTCAAAGCTGAATCAATATCTTTCCATTGATGTATGGTTTGTTAGGATAGGACAATATTTGGCTGAGATACAACTATTTGAAAATCTGGAATCTGAGGGTGCAAAAAAATTTATAAATCTAAATATTGAGAAAATCATCTTTAGAGTTGTCCAAATTAAGTTCTTAGCAATGCATATTACTAATCAAAAATTAAGTTTTGATATATTTACGGTAGGTAATTTACAAAATATCTTCACGGAACATGATCTTTACTTAATATCCTAATGATTTTTGGCATAAAATAAAAATCTATAATTTTGACCCTTACAATGCATTGTTGGCTATTGCTACAAATATCCCCCAGCGACTGCTTTTGTGCTCCAGGCTCACACTGTGTTAGACAACTTTTAAATTCAAATGGTAATTTATTATCTTATAGTGAATATTTGGATAAATTTGGTTTTCCAGTTATGCCAAAAGTGCATGCTGTTATATTTGATGCCATACCTCAACAAGCTGTCCATTGTGTTAGAGCTTGTGGATTCTTCTGAGGCAATGTAGTATGTTAAAGACAGCATGTTTCTAGGAAGCACTGATATTCTTAAAAAGTTGTACTAATAAATATATTAGGAATATTATAACAGGTGATACAGCTGCTTATAAAAGCTTATTGTGGACCAATGTATTTAGAAATATAAATTGCAATAAAGCTTGGCGTATTTGTGAAATATACTGTTTAAATAAAGTAAAAAAAAGTGCATGCTGTTATATTTGGTGCCATACCTCAACAAGCTGTCCATTGTGTTAGAGCTTGTGGATTCTTCTGAGGCAATGTAGTATGTTAAAGACAGCATGTTTCTGGGAAGCACTGATATTCTTAAAAAGTTGTACTAATAAATATATTAGGAATATTATAACAGGTGATACAGCTGCTTATAAAAGCTTATTGTGGACCAATGTATTTAGAAATATAAATTGCAATAAAGCTTGGCGTATTTGTGAAATATACTGTTTAAATAAAGTAAAAGATGGTTTTTCACATGGTATATATCCAGCTAAAAGATTTAATTTGGATATTAATTATTCCTGTGATTTTTGTTCAATGGAAAAGGAGTCTATTGTCCATCTCTTTTGTAATCGTGTATACACAAGGATTTTCTGGGTGGATAAGGAACATTTCATTAGAAGGAAAACAAATATTATTTTGATGTGTATTATTCCAGTGAAAGTAATAATAATAATGTACAGCTTCTCATATTTGGGGAAAATTTCACATGGTCAGGATCCAAGCCAAATTTCAGTCATTTTCTTCAGGAGACTAAAGCACCAGTTTGGAGAACATTGTTAATAAAAAAGCAAAAAAGACGTGATATTTTTCACGAATATGCAGTTTTTGATGGTTTGTACACTCCGGCATGTTTCTATGTACATTTTTGTAAACTGTTGTATATGTTGTTCTGGTCAAGAAAAAGAAATTCGTGAAGTGCAAACCCCGCCCATTTTTCATTTAATGTTATTTTGTGAAGCAAATTCATTAAGTATTTAATACAGAAAACATGAGCCTGATGGACTTATTCTCCCATTTTCTTCAGGAGACTAAAGCACCAGTTTGGAGAACATTGTTAATAAAAAAGCAAAAAAGACGTGATATTTTTCACGAATATGCAGTTTTTGATTAATGAATCAATGGTTTGTACACTCCGGCATGTTTCTATGTACATTTTTGTAAACTGTTGTATATGTTGTTCTGGTCAAGAAAAAGACATTCGTGAAGCGCAAACCCCGCCCATTTTTCATTTAATGTTATTTTGTGAAGCAAATTCATTAAGTATTTAATACAGAAAACATGAGCCTGATGGACTTATTCTCCAGCCACTTCTTGGTCGTCTTTGCAGCAACGGTCAGGAGCATTTTCTTGGCGAAAGAAATGTACAAATAAAACATCTGATCGTTCCTCTTGAGATAACTTCTCAATTCTGGGAAGCAAGCCATTGTGCAATATTCGCTTATACTCCAAAGCATTAACCCGCCATGCATTTATGCATTCATTATTGTATTTCTGACCAGATCTTCAAAAACACTGCTTTGGAGCATGCAACATGTGTTTTACATATTGAACCACTCTGAATCAAACTTCAGTCTTCGATGTTTTCCCCGAGACCGCAAGGCTTTTTAAGGAGCGTTTTTGCTTAATTCTTGCTAATTTCCTTAACAGAAACTTGCGGTTAAGACCATTAAAAGCTTAGTGTTTGGAAGTATATATATATATATATATATATATATACAAAACTAGAAATGTACAAAGTATATACAAAGTTTGTAATGTTGAGTTATCGCAGAGTTGGGAGAAACGGGAAATGTGAATGGGTAAAAATACTTTAAATGGGTAATAATAAGCTGTTTAGAGTTATCAGGAACTTGTATATAATGCTGCTAAGGTAACACAAACTTCAAGGGTCAATTTACACATGTATAAAAAAAATGGGTTATTGAGAATCAATAAAGTCAAAGTTTTCTAACCTTTTTTTTTTACTGCATGGGAAGCACTGACTAAAAAGCATTTTATTTGCAGACATTATTTATTTACAAACAACTGGGTAACAGAGGGTGTTGTAAAGGAAAGACTAAAGGCGAGAAGTGACAAACCAGAAGCCTGGACTCAAATCTAGAGTCCTCTTCCATTTTATTGTCCCTCCTCCTATGAATACAGAGTACATCGGCCATCACACTTGGAGGTCTCGCTATTTCACATACACAAGAAGCTGGTTCCAACTTTTCTTTCACAGCACAGTTGTCCCACCCCGAATTACACTTTTTTTTTTTTTTCCAGAAAACGCAAGCAGTAGTGCCATCATAGTAATTAAAAATAAAAACACAGCAAAGATCACAGAAGGAATAAAAATAAACAAATGGTACTGATGCAAATAGACCACGTGCTTAGTAGCTATATTTCAAACGTCACCATAATCTGCGTCAACAACCTCAGCTAAAGAAAAATCAATAAAACTTTGTGTTAAGAACATGACTTGCTGAAACTTACCATCTAAGCCCAAGAAAATCAACTTATGGCGGATGACGAGTTTTTAAAAACAGGTTCTCTCTCACACACATACACACAAAAATCACCCACGTTTACAGTTCAGAAAGTGGTCCTAAGGTTTCTAAGAGATGAACGTACAAGGACCAGCCTGGATCTCCATTGAGCCCTGGGTGCGTCAACAAGATGAGGAAATAATCTCTCTGAGGAACAGAGACAACTATGCACACTAATATCACAGGTCCAGCAGAGGACGACAGAAAACACCCAAAGCAAGATCAAGACGACGCATTTGCTTCTTGCTACCGGTCAAGAAAAAAAAATCCAAAAACCAGGAGGGTAGCTTGACCTTAGAACTTCCTTTCAAAACATTTAAAATAGTCAATATACATTACTCCTGTATATGTGTTAATAGTAAAATCATCCCTACGAGTCTCGTATTCTCACTTGGTGGAGAAAAAAACCCAACAAAAACGAAACGTTCTGCTTTTGGTAGAGCCATTGAGAGTGTATTCGATTACACGCACTGAAGCGCAAGCGTTCACAACACACTTTGACTCTATCTCGAAAATGCATACATTCAAGCAGCAATAAAAAAATATTTATGGCGAATGCATAATCTCTGGAAAAAAGGGAAAAAAATACTGTATGAACATCCCTGCTATCATGTCTCTAAATACAAAACCTCTACCCATGATTTGCTTCAGTGTAACAAGAAGTCCTTTTTGTGTTTGTCTGCAGGTAAAAGCCAGTTCTCGGTGTATGTATTGGATGACAGTCTCGTGTATTTCTCTTTTCTGGTTTCTATGGTCGAATGATCCGTAAGCATGCAAGCGTCGAAGAGGAGGGGCGGGGGCCTGGAGGAAGGGTCGTGGAGGAGCGGAGGCTTAAGCCAGGGCTGGAAAAGCCTCGGGATCATCCACGTTGGGAACGGAAACACCTCCACCCTGTCAAAGTCAAAAGCAACAGACTTCAAACATCTACCAAATGAGAGAAATCTGGAAACACTGGATGCTGCTACATATACAAGCATTTCACAAGCATTCAGCATCTTATGTGTGTCACATAAAACTTTCAGAAATCTGTGCTGTAAGACCAAACTGTTTTTTTTTGTTGGAAAGTCAA